GAAAAATAAATAAAAAAATACATGATGCCACCTTCTCCTTCTTTATTTTTCTTTTCCCATGCTCACCTTCCCCCCTCCCATATGCATATAGACAATTTTATTTTGTTGGTCGTGTTAAATAAAGGTGTAACCATAATCTATTTATCGCGGTAACTAAGAGGGTTAACGTAATGGATGTCAACACTGTATGTGATGTAGAAAGCGGTTGTATTAGCCTTGTAAGTGATCGCCATTGGGACCTGTTCACACACCTCGCACATCTAAACACCTTCGTGGCATGATGTTCGTACACAACTCACATTTGATACGGAATTCTCCCATTAATGAATGCGACACTCGCTATCTGAATCAATGGCTCTTCATCACTATAAGTCTCAGAATTCTCCCGTAACAAATGCGACACTCGACCATCTGAATTAATGGTTCTTCATCAGTAGACTCTTTGTTTCCTTTATTTTTATTTGCATGTGCATGTACTGACACATGATCGAGTGCGGGTGTTGCCAAACTTGACGTCCCTATAATTTTTGCGGAGGCCTTATTAGCCTCCATGAGTCAGTCTTTTGATTGTCGTATTGCATTCACTCAAAACTTTGTTTTAATCTACCATAAACAGAGCTGACAAATGAGGGAGAGAGAAAGAGGAATTAGAGATTGGGGACAGGGTCAGTTGTGATTAAATTATTTTTCTTACATATAAATCAATTTGAACCAGTTTAAATGCATATTTTTATTTACCACGACATATGTCATGTTATATATGACGTGATATTCAATTAATATTCAGGCTAATAAGGTGTTACGAGTTAATAGATATGATAAATAATATCATAAATTAATAGTATTAACTTATATTAAGAAAATATACTAAATCGATAATTTTTTAAAAGTATAAAGATTAATTTAACTAAAAAATAGGATAACAATACTTTTATTTGCTATAATATATGTCATATTACAACTGGTGTGACTTTCAACTAATATCTATACTAATAAGATGTTACGTGTCAATAAATATGATAAGTGATATCATAAGTTAATAATGTTAACTTATGTTAAGAAAAATAACTAATTTGATAATTTTTTTAAAATATGAAGATTAATCTAACAAATAAATTTGATAAATACTAATTTGAACAAAAATAAACAGTAGATGATTAAATCATTTAATACATATAATGTATATAATATTTTAATTATTGTATTTTATAATTAATATTATTTTAATTTATATAATACAAAACCATATAAAAAATTAATAACAACAAAAATATAGGTATTAATACAAATTCTTCATATTTAACACACGTCATTTTTTTACTTAAATACTAAATTAGTGTATGTACTATTTTTTAAATTGGTCTTTATACTAATTTTTTTAATACTTTTTTTGACTCATATATTTTTTTAAAAATATATGTATTAAGAAATTTATCAAGTGTAAGCAAAATAAACGTGAATGTAAAGGCCCAAAAGTTAATGAAAAATGATATACTGAATTAGTGAAATAATAATAGCAGAAGCAATCATGAGGCTAAGGTTTACATTATTTGCACAGTAAACTAAGATGCTCAATAGGATTATGAGAATGTTCATTTAGCGAACTAAAAATAACAAAAATAAAGAAAACATAACTAAAGTCCTATAGGGTTAACCTCAACTGGACAATTTTGGTGGAATGCGGGAGACAAATTTTTACTCGCAACTTTCTTGCTGTTCAGGATGTGGATCTTGATATTTCTTATATTAAATGGTTAAATAAGAGGGATGAGCTACACTAACCCAATAAAAATGTCAACACTTAACATTGATACGAAATTTAAATATTGGTAGAAATAATTAAAACAACTAATTGAACCATTTTATTTCTTAAATACATTCATTTAATACAAAATGTGACTTTTATACGTACCATTTTTAAGTTTCCAAAATCAACTCATGAAGACAGTAACCATGATAACAATTTATTACACATTCAAAGAAACAATAACAGTGAACTTACATTTTCACCTGTTTACTAGTACTTTTGAGGATCCATAGGGATTCTCCCTATGCGTGGACCCAATATTCAATCTATCAATTAACCCGCCGTCTCCATACCTCATCCGGTAATGAAGGCTAAATATATCACCATTTCGATACCCCGTCCGGTATAAGTGTGAACCAATACCTCCAAACTCCTTCCGGTATAGGATTTTTCAGCCCCATTCGATTGAGATAATATCTATAGTAGAATTTTTCTTATGTACCAGGTTCGTATACCTTTTTTCAGGACACCCGATAAGCCTTTTATACATATCTCCATATTAATAACTAGTCACCAATTACATATAACCGTTTCATATTTATAGATCAGTAATACAACATGGAAATAGACAATACAAACAATCAAGAAAACACGATTAGGACATTTACTTCGAATCAGTCAGTAGGTGAGAATGACAACCAAACAATCAATAAACGAAAAAATGATTAAAATCAATAAACAATAATAATTTAGGTAGTATAAGAATAAATAAACAACATACCTATGGTGATTATACACTGACCGATTCTAACTCTACTGGTGACCTGTAATTAAATTAGGGATCTCTAATTTTTACAAAATACACCGTTATTAATTATTATTAAACTTTAATTTACCATAACAAGAGAAAAGGGTGAGAGATTCTTACTCCATATTGGTGTTTGAAACACTGTCTCTTTTACTGCACTTCTTGGCGATTCTCGGATTTTCTGAATTTTTTCTGCAGAAATAAAAAACATGTGTCACGTATTCTAAAATACCCCAAAAGGCCAAAAATAAGCATTTTAAATTTTTCCAGCCAATTTAGGTTCCGGCACAGCAGAGACATCGTGCTTTGGTACTAGCTCCACCGCCCACAGCGACGTCTCCTCTTGGCGTAGCCATTTTCAACTAGTTTTGGTTGGTTTTGCACGAAAATCTATAGAAAAGGGGTTAGGCGGCTTTGTTGGCCGAGAAAAAGGAAAACCCAAGGTGTTAGAAGCGGAGGAGCCTTCAGTGCGGTGGCTTCGCCGTTCTTCTCTCGCAGTCGGGGGTTCCCTTCAGTTGACCTGCACCAGAAAAGGGTTAGGAGCACAATGGTGGAAAAATTGACAGGAATGAAAAATGGGAAACGGCTCATCGGAGCAATTTTTGGGTTGTGGCCGCGGTAGCTCGACCGAGCTCTGCTCTCCATTTCCGGCTTCCCTATTAGCTTTTAGGCTCCGATATGGATGTGAGGAGGTTCGAAATCGAATTTCGAACAAAAAGGGAAGAAAGTTTTACCTTTCCAGCGTTGGGGGTGGCTCTAGTGCTGCGGCGACAATGATGGGTCTCTTTCTGGCCGCCCTTCTTCTTCTTTTTCAACAAGGGCAGGTGCGATTAAGGTTAGGTTTCCTTAGGATGCGATGCTTATATACATTCTCTACATCGATCTAGACCATTCGTGTAGGGACACGTGGCCCACTCACCACCGTTGGATCGCTTCTATTTGAGAAATTCACTTGAACTACACGATCTAATCAAATATAGCCGTTCGATTGCGTATGAAGAGAAAACGGATCTGGACCTTCCGTGCACGTGGAAGGGGATCTGGGCCGTTAGATCTGCTCGCACGTGTATCGTCTGCGTGGCTTCCCTTGTGGGCACAGGTCCATGTGTCCCCATGCAGTGCACAACGACCGATCGTGCTGCAGAATTGACGGTCTACGTAGCCAAAGTTTTATTATTTTTAAAATTATCAATTTATTTTAAATTAATAATTTTTAAATAAATAAATTAAGAGGTAAACAAAATGCCAGCAAGGCGATGACTGTATTTAGTCCGACTCTAGCCACCAGTAGTTTTGCTCCAAACATCCCAACACACCACCATCTCCCTACAATATCATCATCATTACATGGCGCACCACCCATCAGCACCAGGAGCAGGAGTGGTTGTTCTTATTCTCCACAACACTCTCTGCTTAAAATGCGCACCCTCTCCATAAAACCTTCTTCATCTTCTCTACCTTTCACATGCAATTTCCACCTTTCTCCTCCTCCTTGTTCCTTTCTCTACAGCTTTAGGCCCAGCAAGCGTTTTCATTTCTTCAAACCATGCTCCTCTCTCAGGCAAACTAAGAAACAGCAATCGTTTCAGAAGAGTCCGAGCAGCGCTCCGCAGAGCCTCAGGTGGTTCTTGAACCCTAAGAGCGATGATGATGATAAGATCAAGGTCGATGGCGATGGTGAGAGCGGAGGGGGATTGGAAGGGGACACTGCCGTTAAGGGTACACTTTTGGCTGGAGTTTTGCTAGTCGGTGTTGTGGGGGGTTTTGGTACTGTGGGGTATATCTACAAGGAACAGATAAATGCCTTCTTGAGTCAGTTCTCCACGTTTATTGATGGTAATTATCCTGCAATTTGAGGCGATTTCTTGTTTTTTTCCTTGAAATTTGTGTATCTGTTTTGGAATTTGGTGATTATTCTTGGTGAGGATTGATGACCTATTTTCGTTCCTTTTATTTTATGAAAGTTGAGTATAGTCATAGAAATGTCTGCAATGATTTGGGTTATTAATTATTTTTTAGAGGAAAAAGAAAATTTGTATTAACAAGCACCATGGGGGTGCAACCCAAATACAGAGAAAATCAAAATGTCAATAAGGTCCCCCCAGATCCTCAGCTGAATCAAGAGGATGATCTTAATAAAAAAGCAAAGAGTCTGGAACCAAAATTTGTCCCCTTACCCTCAGAAAGTCCTTTTATTTATTTCCTTCCAGATATCAAAGGGATAAGAGATAAGATGTTTCTATTATGCATATTATCTTTGATGCCTCTCCAAGCCTAGATCTCGTCCTACATAGAATCAGCCATCATCCTACTAACTCCCAACAAGCTATAAGCAACTACCTGTAGCCGAAAAGAAATAGGATACCACAGAAGCAAATGATTAAGTGACTCAGCCGCCCTCTTATAAATATAACACCCATCACCAGTATTTTCCGTCTTTTTATGAGGTTGTCTCGAGTGAGAATAATATCCTTTGGTGCTTCCAAGCAAGAAAAGCTACGGGGGCATTAATTTCCAGATTCTGCTTCTAGTGAAAATTCTATTTGATTATAGCAATGTTAGCCATATGGAACTGAAGGATTCACTGAAAATTTGCCTTGCAATCTCAATTTTTATACCTGTACATTCAAAGACTCATGTGGACTAATATAATGGAAAGTTTTGAAGGAAACTGACATTTTGTTGAATAGAAAAGTACGAAAATAATTTCAAGAGTACAAAGAGGGTGTAAAACCATATATAAAGTGTTTACAGATCCACCAGGATGTCAATTAGATCCCCCAAATCCATGCTGGTGTAAAGAGAGTGACCTCTTAACAAAAAACTTAAGGTCTGTAACCATAAATCTTTAAATCTATCAATTCTAGATTACGTCTCTTCAAAAGCT